AAATTATTTTGATTATCGTACAACGTCGATCAAACCAGTAAAATAACGCCACTTTTTCATAGCAAGTTCTATGGTAATTTAACTGCGCTGTATGCTGCCATAGATTCAGATTGCACACGACTGATAATCATTTTAGTTTAATGGGTGCAAAATGAGGGGAAAAAAGTCAACAGAATCGGAATCTGGTTAATAATATTATGGGGTAAATGGCGACTTTTTAAGTTTTTTTCGGGTGCAATACGTTACGTTTTCGATTTTTTTCCAGAGTCACCTGACGTACTAGCAAGCGAGGGCGTTACAGTATACTGTATATCTATCTCCAAAAAAGGCAAAAGTACTACGATCTTCACTCGTACATGTGAAAAAAGGGATATCCGATACATTATATCTTGGTAAACACCCGGCGGCTTGCATTTTTTTTCTTGGTAAATGTGAATGCATTCACTTTCTCTTTATTTAGTTTCTATATCATTCCTCAATGAACAGCCATACTCATTACAATAATAACAGCTATGGTACACGATCTGTCCCCATTTTGTGTTTGTCAGATTCTATTGGTCGATTTATCAGAGATGAGTAATGGTAATACGGTGGATGGCAAGCAAATATCCGGGCCGTCTATACGGCATGCGGCTTATCCATATATAGTGTTATACATGGTAAAAGAAAAAGAAAGCATTCATTCTCATATACAATTTGCCGATATCATTGCAAGTTTTAGTAAGCGTGTTTATATGGCTATAAATAAAATTTGCTCAATTTTTTCACAAGATACCGCCACTTAGCCGAGCGTGCCTTATCGCATAAATCATCGTAAATGGGGAATGCCAAGCATGATGGCGCAAAATGTCTGATACTATAAAACGCTTTTGTGGGTCGATTTGCTTTGTTTACCATTCTCACAATTAAGTTGTGTACTTTTTAGTCAATGTATGAATAAGTGTTGTACTTTCCCCCCCTCCTTACTTACCGAATTCTGTTGTATGTCGATCCTTTCTCTTAACAGTTCTCGGTAGACTTAACATCACATCAACTAACAGAAGGTAACGGTTTAAATAGATCTCGAAAACACGATCTCCATATAAGGAAAACTATATACCACATACCATCGATCCCAACCTTTGTTCTACCAGATTTGCCAATATAAAAAGTCCTTGAAAAGTGAAAATCTGTGATCTGTACATACTGTGCAAGTAAAGTGAAGTGGGTTACCTATAAATATATATGTTTCGTATGTTTCGTATGTTTCGCACACACCAACACTTTATCTATACTTACAATCGATCAGCTTCACTTCATACCGATACTCAATCATTTTACATACGCCCTTTCAATAAAAAAGAGCATTGCTATCTTTCTCGCGATATTCTGCAAGTCATGCAACTCGATTCATTGCCATTAATCTTTGTCTCGTAGTAGGTGACGTACTATCAAACGTCATTTACCAAATTTAGGTAGATTTTTGAAAATGTTTACTAATACTAATACTGATACCATATACATGCTAAATATATACGTTACTACAATACTGTATAATATAGCCCATCATAAATAAATACAAATAATGTAAACATGTATATATATTGCAGTATTGTGATTATCATATTTAATCGTCATCTGCAACTACCCGACTTTCCTCCGCAAAGAAGCCCAACTAGTTTTTTGACTATGTACGTAAAAAATATTTGGTCTTCACATTCACAATGTTTAAGCCATTTGGTCATATATCGCGCATACGTCTCAGCCATTAGTTTATATATACAAGTGTCGAATGTGTTGTATTGGATGTTGTTGTCGTCGTTGCCAACACTAACATCCATCGGCAATTACAGGATAAACTCTTGACAAAACGCAAACGTACATAATCTTTGCAATACAACCGATATACATACACCATTAAACATCAAAAAACCTCCCACTTGCATCATACCGTCAATATACTGCATTTATTACACGTTATCATATTGCACGGGAAACCACGCACATATATAACACAACGCATATGACAGAAATAACACAACCCCCGCAGACTACAGGCTTGGTAAACGTAATTGTTCTTGATTTTGGTGTATTTTAGGACTGAGCCAACTATACATAGAATTCAATCACTGCTAAAACTAGAAACAGGATCATCGACAATTATTTAGGGATTAGTGGTGGAATGCTGCGAATATATCATAGATACATCCCAGCATGCACAAATCTCTCTACCTGAATTACCACTACCTGTCCCGTTATTTGCATACTAATTACTCATTACGCACACGCATAATCCCTCTTCTCTCAATTTTCTTGATCTTCATAATAACGCAAACTTTTCTCTTTTAAACACTTTTTCTCAGATAAAGCATTTATAAACTTGTTAATTATCATAGAATTTCAACCCCATTCTCGAGTTTGCGGCCATGTCAAACGCACCAGAGTTATCGAATGTTAGAGATTTCCTCAAGAAAGTCAACCTACTTGAATACTATGGTCGTTTCGTGGCGGAGGGATTTGATGATTTGACCTCGGTAAGTACAAATGGACAGCTACCAACAGTAGTGAAACAACAATAAATAGACATGAACATTTAAGAGAGAATTACTAAATGAACAAGAGAGAATTACTAAATGAACAAGAGAGAATTACTAAGAGAGAATTATTACAATGAACGAAAATTATTACAATGAACAAGAGAGAATTATTACATTCACAGAATATTTGATTTAAGAGAGAGTTACCTACATTCACATAAAACTTTTACGAATTACTTTACGGTTCTAGATGGATAACTAATATTATCATTTTTCTCCTTAATACTTCAGTCTTACATTCGATATTTTATATGTTCTCAAAGTCGATAAAAAAAAATTTTTTTTGAAAAATAATTTCGAAATTCTGTATAACGAAATGAGAATTGTCTCCAATCCTTCCACCTTCCAAAGCATAAAAAAAAAAAAAATAGATCTGATGCCCTTTAGTCCATGTTTAATTTTAACAAGTCTAACAAGTCGGTGTTTTTTTCCATGCTACCATCAACAGATAATGGAAGTCACAGAAGCCGATCTAGAAGCGATGGACGTAAAGCGAGGTCATCGTAGGGTAGGTACGGGAAGCGGTTTTACCTGCTTATTACGTAATGAATTTGTTTGATGGAAAAGTCGTTATCATAACACATCTAATGTGTTGCATGATATCATATGGTTGCATATGTATGCCCCTTCTGGTCATACGTATGCGAAATGCGGAATCGTTTGTTTTTCAATTTGTGTTACAATGCTCTGTACGAATAAACTATGGCATTATGGCATTACCAATTGTTATGCGAATTACAGATTATTATCAACACTTGTTACCGAATCAATTATGACTTTTTTATAGACACTTGTTGCAAACCTTTATCGAATCAATGATGACTTTTTTATAGACTCATTCACTTGTTTCTTTTCACAATGCATCTGACCACATTTTTATTATTATTACAATAGCGTCTACAGCGAGAAATAGCAACCGTCAAAGGATATCCGCACATTACTTCTCTCAGCTCAATTGTCGGTACTGATTCTTTGACAAACAATCCAGCATTCAGCAATGGTATGTATTTGCCCTAATCGCAAGACGCCTTCATACATATGTTACTCTTTTAATCAACATTATCTTCTCACCTTTTTGCAATCATCAGATAATTCGCAGATTCAAAACATTCCTCTTCAGTCGAAACAGTTATATGTCAATGAGACATCATTAAACAATCAAATTCAACCCGTTTCACTACCAAAACGTCAAGAAACACAAGCCAATGGGCCACCACCAAAACCACCTGAACCCACGAGCAGCAAACGCAAGTATCGAAGACATCCCAAACGCGACAGACATGCTCCAGTAAAACCAGCATCTGCGTATGTTATGTTTGCGCATCGCGTTCGTGAGCAATACCAAGGACAAAACTTGTCTTTTCCTGAAATGGCTAAAATAGTTGGTGAGCGATGGAAAAATGTCCCTTCTGCCGAAAAGGAAGCAATCGAGAAAGACGCTGCTGCTGCAAAGTCTAAATATTTGGCAGAGTTGGAAATTTACAAGAACAGCGATGCATGGAAGGTGAGCAGGCGATTATTTGACAAGTTTGAATACGCGTGTATTTTGTTACTCAAATTTATTACCAACACACTATTTCTGCCACAACGCAACAACACCATATTTTTGTGTTATTCATTAGCAATATCAAATATACCTCCGCCAATTTTACGACAATGACAATGGCAAACCAGATCGTGACAGAAAAAGAGCGCACACTTTACGCTTCAAATCTGAGCGATTCCCAGGCCCGGAACATTCAACTTCCACAAACTTTCCCGCTACCCAAGCAACTCCCATCAATTATCAGAGCAACATCCCAAACAACGAATGCAACGTATTAAATAACAGGTCGAATTCTATATTTTCGTACCAGGCCGCAAATTGCAACCAGCATAAAGAATGTACAAATTTTCATCCAGACGGTAGCCATAACGGAAGAAGGAAAGACAGTAGCAACAATCTCAATACAAATGCTAGTGCAAGTACGCCGACGTCTGATAGTACCATTTCTTCCAACGGCTCGGCTTCCACAACAATAACGACAGCAACGACTTCTACTACATCGACTACATCGACTATGCCCTCCATGTTTCAATCAAGACGCACAAATGACAGCCGTGGTAATTAACCGGTTTCAGCAATGTACATTCCACCAATCGGTTACGACAATAGTGTAAGGATTCAGTGAGGGAGAAAAAAAAAGAGCAACGTTACGGAATGAGCGCAATAGAAAAAAAAAGTTAATGAATGGAAATTGGATGGAGTCAAGAAATGTTGCATCATGAAAATTTTAGAGATGGGCGATTGATATTCTTGAAAAAGTATGTATTTTTGATTGGAAGGGATATTTAATCGCACATTCACGTATAGTTTCCATTATGTCATAAAGATATGCTTTATATGAGATTGGATTATATGTCTGTACAGCATCTAAATTGGTTATATACATTTACTCTTTTGCAATTAGTTATTACTGTAATATTGTAAGTTTTAATTTTATAATTTCAAAGGCGAATATACAAAACGTAACGTTTGCTAAAAGTCGTGTTATACAGTTTAAGTGGAATGATTTGTTTCTATCGTACAGATTTACTTTTTTGTAAATAAAGGAAATAGATCTTTTAACCGTCGTATTGACTATTGTAATGATAACAATAAACTATTGGCGATCAAACCGAGAATCCTAACAAATTATCTCGAGGTCCCCCAACTTGGAGTATGCGTTTTATGGCCTCACAGCCTGGAAATACTATTATAATTTGCAACATAGCGCTATAGAAAGGTTTCAGGGGTTAATGTTGAATGTCACGGATTTGTCTTACCCTCTCTCTTATATGGCTTTCTATTTCGGCATTTTATCCTTTAAGCACACAAATTAATGAAAGTGAAGGTAATACTAAATATTCAGTAATGTTATTTACGAGTCTGGGAAAAATTAACTGTAAACTAGCGAGAAGAGTTACAACATGTTAATATTATGTAGGAAGGGTTATAAGAACTTATTCGATACAAAGAACTTGAAAATCTTAGTCTGCGTAAGTGCAGTACGCGAACAAATTAATTACGAGACGAGATTGTAGGGAATGAGAACTTGGCATGGTTTTGGAATTAAGCATAGTGCGACTTTATTTGTGAAAGTATCAAACTCAATTATGATACCTGGCCATCCAAATTCAAGCGCAATGGTAGTCTATAAGACTTTAATGGATAAGAAAATTTATTCATTGTTCGTCTAAAATGGTCTCTTTGTTTGTTATACAAAACGAAATCTCGTTATCTTCCGATTTTGATGAATGTGCAACAATAGTCGGTATATATGATTGACACCAAAAGGGTTGAGACATGAAACATCATTACCATTTTGAATATCAACAGGTTATAATCACCGAGGCAGATAGGGATGTAATGGCTTCACTTTCATCTTTCGAGAAAGTCCAATACGCATAGTGGGCGTTTCTTGCAAAATGTTGTCGATTGATATTCCTAGATCATTCGTTCATTATTGGTTAGGAAAGTAAACGCGACGCGTAAAATTCTCAGTAAACTATGGCAAGTTACATACTTGAATTTGATGCTGTAGAAACATGATAATAGGATTAGATTAGCGCCTGATGACAAGGGTTCAACAAGATGATAATGAACACTCACTTGTTTTGTGATTTACGGTCACTTTGTCCGAATCTTCCAAAGGCAAAACCTGTATACAGTTCGGTTGGTCTTAGGAAAGTTCAAGTCCACGTAGATCAATAAACAGAACACATACATTAAGCAGACTCTTGAATTTTTTTGTTGATGAACGTTCTCGCGACTTCTCGGCAGTGTTGTTGTCATTAACGTTCTTTGACGTTTTTTTATTACTATTGGTCGACTTGTGCTCTGCTGGTTCTTTATTCGTTGAATTCTTTGAAACAGCAGTCTTCCTTTTCGATCGTCTCGTATTACTCTCTTCATAATCGCTCTCGTCATCATCCTCGTCATACGACCCTTCTTCATCCTGTTCAAACACATCTTCAGTATCATCATCATTATCATCATCATTATCATCATCATTATCATCATCATCGTCATTGTTATCATCGCCATTATACTCTTCATTATCTTCGCCTTCTCCTTCAGCCTCTTCCTCTTCTTCTCCAGCTGCCTCGTCAGACTCCCCAACCAAATTCTCTATCTCTATGTTATCTTTACTCGATTTATCCTTTAAATTGCGTGCGACACGCTTCTCATTCAACTTATCATCCTCTTCATTTGCAATCGGCAGATCACTTAGTTCGCTATCCTCGAAGATGTCTATGCAATAAGAAAGCATTAACACAAAGTAGAATTGCGTTCTTTATATGTTTGCCTAATAGTAAATACTAAATACCGTTACTGTTTGTACCAGCCAATATTACTTCGTCGTCCGTAGACTTGGCTTCGCTAACGGACGCTTTATTTGCTTTGGTATCAGATGAGTCTGTTGAATTAGTATTTGAAAATCTTGAACACGAGACGCAAAGTTATTACCAGATGGAGTATATATACTGATGTTTACAAGGACGAGTCCAGCGTCTATTTATACGTATAGTTACCTGTTCTTTCGACTTAGACTCAAATTTTTCTTTTTCTTATTATTATCAGCTTGCGGAAAGAGAAACTCGGGTGCCAATTCTTTAGCTGCTCTATTAGGCGTACTGCATGAATTTGATTGTTTCTTTTGACTCGTAGGCGATTTAACCTCTCCACTTTCCATACTTGCTCGACTGTTCTCTATTTTACACGACCTATCAGTATTTACTATGTTACGTGATGATAGCCAGCAGCAAAGCAGTGCAGTATTAACATTGCGAATATTTACTCCTGCTTTCTATATAAGCGACATACCCCCACTTCTACTAGGCGAGTTTCTCTTCCTATTACCACTTGGCTCTATGTCCGAGTCTAGTACAGAGGTGTAATCAATTGTTTTGCGTTTTCTGTATAGAAAAGTAAGCGTGTTGAGCGTTGATAGAAAGGATAACTGATTTGACGCGCTGCATCCATGTTGTGGTGATATTCGAATGATTTTACCTTGTTGACCGTCGCGTTGCCTCCATATCATTAATGAAAAAGTAAGGCACATTGCCATGTCTTTTTAATGTTGTACAAGCCCATACTCATTTATCATTGGTTGCGGACTAAACCGCCCGCGAAAATATTCAAGTTTCGCGAGGGAACTAAGACGAATTCACCACATTCACTGCTGAATAACACTGTGCATTGTTTGTAAGGCCTCTTTCCAAACCTATTTGCAACTGTTTGAGCTTGTTGCTCGAGCTTATTCTGCGTGTCTTGGCTCAGTCTAGCTTGCCAGGTTACCAAATTCCCAGCACATACTTATGCCGACAAATGATAATAAAATTGTTACACGAGTAGGAAAATTGTGTAAAATACACGTTTTTATTTTGATGCTGCGAACCAATTTTGTCTAATATCGCGCAGTAATCGCCTATAAGCAATAAATCATCTGTAATCATTACGATTTTATTCTAAAAACACTAGTGTTGTCAGTGTATGAAATGCTCTTTGGTATCTCTACTTCCTCATTAGACTATCTAAGCTTCCCATTGCAGTACCTTGCGAGAACAAGTTGCATTACTACTCATGAAGAGTCATGAAGAAATATGCTTCCGACTAACCTCTTTCATTATTACCTTCATATTATGATAGTGTATTGAGAAATTGGGACGTATGGTATATACGTGTATGTAATATGTATATTATAATGATCTCGAAAACGTGAAATCAATTTTCGTCGTCAATCAGCACTAAGACAACAACCAAGAATCCAATACTCATGAAGCTTATATGTTTGGTAAGCGTAACTGTTGCCAACGTGTCTGCAATGAATTGACCCAGAATATTATGTAC